AAAAAAAAAAAAAAAAAAAAAACAAAAAACGATTGCTTAAAAATAGCAAGGGACCCTGAGAATTCAATATAGCAGTTGCTAGATGAGGCAAAGAAGAATATCCTGAGATTGACTGGAGTCGATGAAAAAGCAGGTGATAGTACAAATGATATTAAAAAAAAAAAAAAAAAGTTCCCAGATGACATGGAAGGAAATGTCCTTGGTACATAAAAAGAATTTGACATATAGCTAAGGAGGACACACAGAACTCCAACTAGCAACAATCAAAAATTATCTATAGCCTGTCATATCATAGCTCAGATTCCAGAAAATCAACACACAAACAGAATCTTAAAAGCTGTTAGGGAAAAGAAACAAATCACCTACAAAAGAAAGCTCAGAGGAATTGCAGCTGCCATCTCAGCACAAACTCTGACGTCAAGGAGAATTTGGAGTGAAATATTTCAAGTTCTAAGGGAAAACAATCTTCAACCCAGATTGATGTACCCGAGAAAACTATTTCTCAAAACTAATGGAGAAATAAGATACTTCCATGACACAGAATACCTAAGGAAATTTATGACCACAAAACCAGCACTCAAAAGTATTTTGAAGGATGTACTAGAAAGAGATAACAAGGACTGTACTTTCATGAACCACAACGGAAGGAATCCGCCAGGCAGGGTAAACAATTGGAGGGAAAAAAAGGAAGGGAAGCCAACAACAGGACAAAAACATAAGGATAAGCCAGTATATATCAGTTACAATCATCAATGTTAATGGTCTCAATTCATTAATCAAAAGACACAGGCTGGCAGAAGAAATCAAGAAGCAACATCCAACAATATGCTGCATACAAGAAACATATTTACTGCAAAAAGAAATTCATAGACTGAAAGTCAAAGGATGGGAAACAATATTTCATGCAACAGGAACCCAGAAAAAAAGCAGAGATAGCTATTCTACTTGCAGACAAAGTAACTTTCAAGCCAAGACTGATTAAGAGATGAAGGTTACAAGAAGGTCCTTGTAAAGGGAATAATCCAAGAGGAAAACACAACCATCAGAAATATATATGCAACAAATACCAGTGCATGCAACTATATAAAACAAATAACAAGGCATGAAAAACCAAATAAGCAACTATACAATTGTACTGGGGAATATCAATATCCCACTCTCACAAAAAGAACAATTAGATTTTAAAAAGATGAGGGCTTGCAAGATAACTCAGCAGACTAAGCACAAGCTTAGGCAAAGTGCAGGGCCAGGATTCAATCCCCAGCACAACATGCTGTGCCAGC